AATAATGATAAAAAAAAAAATATATATATTAAAAATCTGAGAATTATTGGTACAAATGAAAGCCGGGAAAAATACCTACCTACCTATCTACGTTTTCGTTGTTAACTTGTCGATGAATTATTACATTACACAATACCTTTTGTCAATGAATCATTTTTTTTTTTTTACTATAATGTTAGAAAACGGTTACAATAGTAAAACAATTTATTTACATGATCGAAAGGACCAAAAAAAAAAAACACAATTCTGATCTGTACTCAAAATGTTTTGCTTAATATTAATTACAAATTATATATTCAATTTTAAGCACACAGAGGTTTTGACCCTTATAATATCAGAGGGTGAAACCAATATTTACGTTTGATTTTCGAATAGAAACCTACATAAAAATATTCCACAACTATGTGAAGTTTTATTTAAAATTCATTTCGGTATTAAAATTTTAAATTTCCGTCAATCTTTAAACAAGAAATTCGACATAGTTAAAACACCGCGCATCGCACCGTCAAACATATGATGCTCCACAACACTTCTCTTGTCTGAAATTGAAAGTCTTAAAGTCTATCTCGTCTACGGGTTTACAGATGATAAAAATGTCAACAACAAAATTTATTTAAACTAAAACTTCAGCTTCGGAATTTGTATTTTAGCTATGACCTATACGTCACGTTGATTTTCACGAATTTTAGAACTAATACACAAAAAACAAACTGCAAATCTGCAGTAATAATACAATTAAACATTTCTCGAACATTTTTTTTTAATAAAATTAAAAAGAAAAAAAAACCCATCAGAATAATAACTGCACGATTATGACGTTCATATATATTCGACGCGTGTTAGTGAAAATATACCACCGACCCGGAACGTGATATTTCTACTTTTTTTCCCCCTACGCGTCGGCGGCGTGTGTTCTCCGCCACGTTTGCTAAAATATTATTATGTGAATACAATTCTTACAATTCTTACCAATTATTATCGTATACTCGTCTCGCTATTGTTCGGCGGACGGACCATCACGAGGCGGGCAAACGTGTGTAACATCATTGAAACGTGCCGTCGTCGGCGTGTGTTACAAATATTGTAAAATGTTTTTGGTGTATGGTTTTAGATTCTGAGAGCGACGAGAGCGAATTTATCGGCTGTTATGATGTGAGCTTTTTTTTGTTTTTGTCATAACGAAACGTACGTAATCTTCTTCATTAAAAAAAAAAAAATAGGAAGTTCTTATGATTTCCGAGATATAGCGAGCCTTTGGCGTCCAATCACGAGTAGAAAATATGTAATTATATTATATTCTGAGCGCGGCGAAAAATGTATTGGTTTTACTATGTTTCACTAATTTGTATGTATGTGTGTGTGTGTGTGTGTGTGTTTACTTTCTGTCCGTTAACGACTTTTCTATCAGAAATATTGCTCCTATCATCAACATCAGAGGTGATTTCTGGTAGCAAATTTTGTCTAGTCGGATAAGTCGTTTCTTGATTTCCTGTGTGGTTTCATGGTAATTGGAAAAAACGTAACAAAAGAACCTTTACAATTTACGACAGTAAGAGTTTTATTATTTTCGATATTTTTTTTTTTTTTCATATAATTTAATTATACATTTTTATCAACCGTAAGTGATTTTCGGAAAAAAACAAAACGCAATATCTTCGTTAAACTCATACAAGTAGTTTATTCGTTACACTCTGAATCTAAAATTATCACCAGGACCGCTGTATGCCAATTGCCAACGTGCGGTTTTTTTTTTTTTTTAAATAATCTTCGGGAAACTCCGAACACCGTACGTATCGAATCCACGTTTGAACCGCACATACAACATAAATATTATTATCACGCACACGAATAGATCGATTCGTAGTCCCAAAACGGTCGGGAGTGCAGGCGAGTACGCGAGTAAATGGTACCTGAAAAATCCCCCCAACACGCGAGAATAATAATAATTCACAATGAGGCGATGGATAAGGGAAAAAAACATGATGGACACATTTTATGTGCTACGACAGTCCAATGCGTGTTTACACAATAATATTATTGTATGTCCTGAGCATAGAAATAAATGTGTATCTATGGGCATAATATGTCTCACCGCGTGTACAAATCGAATCCGGATAAAGGAAGTCGTGTCACGCGCGCTTGTTATGCTATATTGTGAACCGGAGTGCGGTTTCATCGTTTCGAAAAATACTTTTAGGTACGCAATATTCGGTACACTGAAATTCGGTCTTATCATTCCTTTTCCGGTGCGGTTGCCGCCGCTGTACGATTATTGCAAACATAACCGTACGATATAATATTATAAAACGTCATGTTTTCGCGAAAACTCGCGTAATAAGAATTACATCAAACCGATACATAAATAATTGAAATAAGCACACGTATATCGTTTAAAACGGACACAACTACGAGTACAAGTGAACGATCGCGTTTGTGTTTCTGTACGTAGTAACTCTGTAGCTAGCTATCCCGTCCGGCGTTGCTCGAGCCAAAAGAAACCATAGACAGATATTATCGTTACACTATTTACACGGACAACCTCATTATTTATTTTGTTTGGTTTAACAGTTTTTAAATTTCATCCGTATTATCAAGGCGACACTTAAATTAGTTAAAATAATTAGATTTTCGGACTAAAAATACGCTAATAATAACTAATAACCCCCTGAGTCTTCCCCTTTTTGGGCTTTTTTTTTTTTTAGATGAAATGTCCTTCTTTAGGATGCAGTCTATTTTCTTGTCGAATCTGTTCAGCCGTTTAGGTATGAAAATGTAATAGACAGAGTTACTTTCGCATTTTTAATATTTATATATATATATATATATATATATGATGGGCAATATTATGTACACAAATCGAGAATTACAGTGTCATATTATGTTTCTAATATGTGTCAATGTGACATTTGCTTCGTTTCGGGAACTTCGGTCACTTCCATTCGTGAGCTCGTGTAAAAACTTATTAACCGAAAATAACCTTCGATGTCTCGTGCGAATTCACGTCGGGTAGGCTAGGGGAAAAATTACGATAAATAACAATAACGCAAACAATGTTTTGTACCGCAATCGTCGGTGTCGAACCCGACAACAATGGTTCACGGATGCACTGTTAGACCACCGAAACACCGTCAACGCTTCGTTAATTTGCCGATATCTTGACCACAGGACCAACGCAATACACGACACTTCTACGCGCGCACGATTGAAATGGACCAATCACACACGGGAAATGTTTCCTAGGTGCTTAACGGATACCAGAACGCTAATATGCCCTAACTGCAACGTGTCCTCGTCGTCGAATCGGTCGAATGTTCGACGCGTATATGAAAAAAAAAAAAAAAACGACTCGTACGTTTTGCACAGGTTTTTGGCCGTGGCGCACGGGTTGTGCAACTCGCGACCGCACTTGCATGACGATAATATTATTGTGCAGACGGCGGATGGGGAGGGAGGGCAATTTATTATTCGTGGGAAAACGGAAAAAAAAAAATCGTCGTCTTCGGGAAAAATGAACATAATGATAATAATGTTATTATTACCGCGTGTGTGTATGTGGGATTCACCGGAGAGGTGTTGTTTTTCGGGCCCGATCCGGATTTAAGGAGCATCTACACCTTCTACCTGTCGCAATCTGTTGTCTCACGCGTAATAAATAGCAACAAATACATTCCGCGCTTTGACGATTGCGTGACTCTCTGGTTGGGTTTAATGCGAACGGGCCTTCTATTGCATACATCATATAATTACAATCGGTATTAATACATTGTATTATTATGCCTTGGCTTAACGATTTTAAATTCTGAATGGGGCGGAGGAGCTTATGGTTTTACAATGATGTTTACTTTTTTATTTTTATCTGTGAACAACTTTTCTACCAGAAATCTTGTTCCGATTTACAAGTGTAGCACTTTTTCTGAAACGTAATCGGACCGCAGAGGTATTTTAAGGGAGCAATGTTTTTTTGATTTTTTCAGGAATTTTCTCATTAAATTTGAAAAGCCGGGAAAAAACACGGGAAAACCGGGAAAAACGTATGAAAAACGGGAAAATAAGTACGATATTAAACAAATATTACTGAGGAAAATATATAATGCATGTGTAAATATTTTACTGTAATATGACATATTGTTGATAAAGCAACACTATCATCCGAATTCGTGTGCTGTCTCCGTCTTACAAACGTACAACATGACAAATTTGCTTTCAACCGGGCCAATTTATTCGTATAAGTACAACTATTAAACGTACAGATAAGAATATTATCCGTGCAACGTTGGCGTTGTTTTGTCGATATTTTCGCCTTTACGCGAGATAGGTATACAATCATTAATAAACTGCAATTTCATATGCTCATACATAATATTATTAATATTATTATCACGCGCTCTCGACGGTTGAATTATAGAGAAATTATGTTAAATTAAACGAGCATTTTTAACGACAAAAATGAAAATATTAAAAAATAATCGTCCGGTCGAGACACGGTACGAATACTCTTCTTTATAATTTATTACATTGCGCGCGAGACAGACAGAGAAAACAAATTATGTGTTACATTCCCCTACCCCGTCGTAGTGACGCCACCGCCGCCGGGCCGTGTCAACGAGCCGCGAACCGCCACGGGCAGTCCCAAAGTGTCGTCGGCGACCGCGTTTCGCGACAGTCGTGTCCAGTGTAATATTATTGTCGTTTTTTCTCTCTTCTCGATTCTCCCCGACCGCGTATCTCGTCTCTCACGTCTCTCTGATCGAACCTAACCTAATCTCTCGTTTACGTATAAATTACATTCTTGTATTTTTTTTTTTTTGCTACTCGCCGTCGTTTTATGTTTTAAATTCACGCGCTCGTTTCTCGTTTTAACATACATACGCATCATCATATATTGCTATAATATTATATCTAATAATACTCGTAATATTATGGACGACAATGTTTAAAATAACCGTGTTTGTGGATTTTATTACAGCGGACCCGCCTAATACCCCTCAGCAGATGACAAGATGAAGCGCAATTGGATTAGAACGGATCGGTTATGGTGCCTGTTTCTGAGTGAGTACCTATGCATATACTTATTGAATACTTAACGCCATCGACGAGTTGAGACGTAGTCGTCTGACGTTTTGTTATTATTTTGTTAATACGCTTTGATAACGGGGTATCGTGATTTTTCACGCGGTGTTGAAGCGATATTGCTGCATTTAAAAAAAAAAAAAAAAAAAAACATTGTTGGCAAGTTACTTATTGTATAATTGTATTTCAATGCCATCACTCTCTTTCAATTGGTTCATATCTAGTAATAACCAAATAAATTGCTTTTTTATTGATCACAAGTTAGCAAGTACCTACTTTAAATACAGTTACTCGACTAATACTATTATAAAAAACTACAAAAAAAAACTCAGAATTAATAGTATCAATATAAAAAATAATCAAATAGTGTGCTTAAAATTTAAAATGTTTCATAGTAAATAAAAAAATAAAATAAAGAAAATTGGTATAACTGTCACTCATTCGGCTACTAAAATTGAATGACTTGCCCACTGCTAAAAAGTCTGTTCGTCGTTTGCATAATTTTTCAACGCGTTCACACCATTATAATAAATAATACAATCATAACTGATGTATAATGACGTAAAAAATGGCATTACATAAAACTGTAATAATAATATTTACAACGTAATTTCACGTTTTTAGACTTCAATACTATATCGTATTATATTATTGTAGCCCCAATTGCTCTATTTCTTAACTACTTATGTACGGACTCATCAGCATTTTTCAAAGCTTAAAAATAATAAAGTAGATATAGGAATACAATTAGTATGGGTGTGAATTTGACGCATTAAAATTTTTTGAAAAAAAAGCACTTACAAAGTACTTGCAATCAGAAAAGCAGCATTTTAGGAGATGATCGAGAAGGGAGGATCTATAAAGTAATTTAATTAAGTAATATCTGTACGCAACGATCAACTATTACTAATAAAAAATGGTTCTGAGCAGAATATTATTTGCGGTATTTTTTCCCTTATTGCTAAGTAACCTAGAAATCAAACACAAATGTACAAACAAATCGCCATCGATGAGTTCATATAAAGTTTTTAATGCTAACAAGATTTCTAGTAGAAAAGTAAAAAAGCACATCATATAGTAAAATCGTTTCTTTTTTTGCTCCATCCAGAATTTAAATAAATTACGGAGTTTTAAAAATAGTGACTTTCCAAACAATAATATGCGTTAAATGGTTTAAAAATTGCTCAGAATTGAATTTGAAATATATAAATCGTCGAGGAGAGGATTTAAGGATGCACAAAAGCTGTAATATAGTAGAATGGCTAAATTGAATGCAGACTAATCTAGTGATGGAATAAAAATGATATAGTAGTGTTTAAATGTAGCGCTATGCGGACATTGATTTTTCCGTAGGTCCGTCGTTTAAGAAAATATACATATATACTGATAATTTACAATTATTTATCGTTGAAAAACGAACCTTGATTATGCTATCTGTATAGTAGCACATTTAGTTTCTTATGTCGAAGTAAAAAAAAATGTATTTTCAACACCCTTATACGCATAGTGTACAATTACGTAGGTGTCCGTTTTAAGTTTTAATTAAACTGAAGTATCGTTGGACCATATACAGCGACTGTGTTTTTATGCTTTGTCAGCTTAAAAATTTAATGCCGGTGATCAATCTGTTATGACATTTTTACCGGTACTGCAGTGGGCCGTTTCGACTTTCCAAACGGAGAGTTTTTTTTTTCACCGTTTTATTATTATGAACGTAAACACATTTGTTTTGAAAATTATTAACTGTACTTACGAAAACTCGTCGCATCGGTTACTTATGTACTATAGGTATATAAAATTGTACAGTTTTTTTTTTTTTTTAACCGTTTACAATATTTGGAATTATCCGTGCGTGTGTAGGAAATACAAAACAACGTTGCGTATGTATTTTGTTAATTCCACGGAAAGTTATCCAATCCATGCCGTGAAAATCATTTGTTTACATACAATTATAATTATTAATCCTAATAAAATTTGACGTAGTAAAATTTGCTATCGTTATTTTACTAAAAGCCGTCATCATATTATTATTATTATGTGAACTGCATAAAATATATCATATAGTGATATGTGTATAAATATATACATACGTATCGGTTTTGTTAAATTTCATATTACATAAGATATTTGTACTTTTATCACACATTACCGTGGATTGTACATATTCTGAAGTTTCATTTTTTCTATTCTTTGGTAATTAGATAATAAATTCTTTAATTTCTAAAAATTTGTTTATATACAAACCATATAATATATAATAATATATTATATGGTTTTGCTACTGATACTAAAAATTATTTTCGTAATCGATTCGCGTTACAGCACAGTTATTATTTTGTGGGCACGGTAAACACGAAATATATATATTGATTCAATGTTTGTCCGTGCAGCGTGTTACGAGGGGCATCATAAGTTGTTCTCGGTGATATAAAAAATAAAATAAAATAAACTATTGCTGATACTAATAATGGATTAGCCACTGTTCCCGTAGTGACATTAGAAGGGAAGTACACTCTATAGTTTATAATATAGACTCTATATCGAGTAATTTGTGTACATTTTGTAATACGATAAACCATCACTGACAAAAAACGATTTTAAATAATACCCTGTAATCGTATTTTCCCTTGTTGACAAGGTAACCTTGAAATCAACAAAAATTATGCATATTATTGCCAGTATTTTCATTTATTATGAGACGTAAAAAGAAAAACAAATATTTTCTTCTTAAATGTACCAGCTAGATGAAAACAAAAATATGTAATAATTTTGTTTTGTATTCATAAATGTTTAAAATTCAAATTTTGAAAATAATTGTCATAACAAAAATAAAAATAATCGCAAATAAATTGTTCAAAACCAAGCCCGGATTAAGAGGGGGTCCAGGGAGAGCCATGGTTCCCGGGCCGCCAAACTCCCAGAGCCTCAGTTTTTTTTCACTCAGTTTCAATTTATGTATGAATTTAACCTTTAACTAGGTACATTGACATTTTAATATTTTTTAGTAGCCTGATCATGAATTATTCGTATTATTATAAAGTTGAAACTACTATACTAACTTTATCCAAAATTATATATTTATTTGTTTAAATAATACTTGTGGCTTTTCAATTGAGATTTATATGATGTTATGCTTTTTTTATTATTTTTCTTTTGTTAAAACATATTGATTAGTAAACATTTAAATAATATTTGGCCCCGGGGCCTCTAAATATCTTTATCCGTGCTTGTTCAAAACAACTTTAACCAAACTTTTTGATTACGACGAAAGATGTAGATGTAAAATAGGAGTTATTAAAATAATAGCTTTAATAAAGGCAACTACTCGAGGTATTGAAATAATACGATTGCTTTTGATGGAAAAAATCCGTATTCGTTATAATATACAACGACAGTATTAACTAACCGAAACATTTTTTAATGAAAAAAAAAAAACATAATAAAAATTGAACTGTAAACACTACACTTAGTATCTGAAATAATATCTTTCGTGCAAATTTAATTTGATATTATGATTATTCGTAAAAATTGAAATTTCTATCGATTTCGTGCCGTGCATTTTACCGTATTTGAAAAGTAATTTATTTATTCATGACTATAATTTCAAATATAAATAATGATATACAAACACTAAACAGTCATTATTTATCTATAATATAAATTATAATGAATACGTCGTTTAATGATAGATCTCTATAGTTTTTACTTTATTATTAAAAAACCGTTGTAACGATATATAGTTATAGTAGGTATTTATTTATCTTCTTTCGTAATTACGTATATTATAATATATACGGTACACAATGATTATAACCTTTCTAATAATGTTATATTGATGTTTAAATGAATTTCGTTGGGAATATCGTCACTTGATGACGTCCTCGATAACCCCCTCGGGATAAAAACCTACTCATCGAGTGCCTATTCAGAATACGACTGAACATTAACGCGTTAAAAAGTTAAAATGCATGTTAAACTTTTAACATTACTTATTCATTTGAATAGGTATGTAGATAACAAACGCGAAAATTCTTGTTCCGTTCGACTTTCGGTTTTTCCGTCTAGTTAATAGGTTAAGGTACTTAACTGAGTTAGGAAGACGACACATCGCGCACTTGTTGTTTTAGTCTTAAAGACGAACACGACATAGCAAACTTTCGTTAATCAGGGCCAATATTAAGGAAATCGGCCTTTTCATCAAACCCAAAGATGAGAAATTAATATGTTTCCTTACGTCAGTGTTTCTTCGATGTTCCAATGTTTACGCGAATCACGCATGTATGCGAAATATCTCAATTCAAAAACCTATACGAGTATTCGTTATTAACTCGTCTAATAACCGTGTCCCGCACACTCGTCTGAAGTGCGTTTAATAATATGAGATAATTCGACACAATTTATTTTACCGCGATTGGCGCGTTTCAATAAAACCGAAAACAAAATGTAGGCAAACGGAGACAGCAAATCGTACAATATTTTATCGCGGATATTCAAATGGGTAACAACAAAAAATATAATGATTCGATTACGAAGGTCGTGTGCACCGAGACTGTGACAGGAGTAAAGACATACCCATACTACAAACGATTACTTCGATTATTTTTTTTTTTTCTCGCAGACGTATTATTTGTAATTCAACAATTTCAACAGCGACAGCGTCCGGTAATATAGGTATATATACTCGTATTATAGTATAGTGTTTATCAAACAAAGAATTTACAAAATAATATAATACATAAAAAAAACAACCGCGAGAAAATACTAGTTTATTGCGCCGACGGAACCGAGACACAACACAGAAACACGTCCGATTATTATTATATTATTATATTAGACACAATAGGAGTGGTGTTTTTTTTTTTTTTTTTTTAATTCTATGTATCTGTGTAAAAAGTTGCACGGCCAGATGTCATTAACGTCAAGTTGTCTTGTCTGTTTATAAGCTTTCGAAAAATATACGATCGAACGACATTGACCGTCGGAAATTACCCCCGGTATTCTCGTCGTCGTCGTCGTCCGTATTATTTCTCCTTTCCGTTTTTTCTCTGGCGTTTTCTAAACAAGTCGGCTTTTTTTTTCAAATTGCTCTAATCAATATTAAAACACTTCATCACGCTATCACCCGTATTATATTATACTTATGTTCGCGTTCGCCGTTCACAGCGAATATTGACAATTTTTTTTATATATATATATATATACAAAAACAATCACGAAATAATAATGACCGAGTCTCTAATAATATATTATACGATATATTTAATTTTCAAAAACCGATAAACCGAAAATTTCGAAAAAAAACCCGCTAAGAACTGTCAAAAAACTAATAAATTTACCGCCATTTCTACGACTTATAATGTATTTCGCATTAAATATGTCTATTTGGTCAAACAATTTTATTCACATAAAATCAAATGAAACCTAAACTTATTAGAAAATGTCATACGTCTCAAAAATCAGAATGTTTTGAACGCATGAAAAGATCTAAAAAAGCCTAATATAGGTATTTTATAAAAACGACAGATTCCTACGGTTATTTTTTACCGAATTATAACAAGAAAATAAACTTTAATATTATGAAATCATTATTATGCCATTATATTTCCCGTTTTTTCTAAATTATTAAAAAAAAAAGTACACGGAAAATCAAAATCCGACTCTCCAGTGAACTATAGACAACACGATTGATGTTGATAATCGGAACAATATTTCTGGTAGAAAAATAATCACACGTCATAGGGTAAAACCAATAATTTCCTCAGAAATTAAATACAAATCAAATACTAATAAAAAAATGTATAATTTATAATAATAACTGATACTATAATATTTATATTTTACTTTTATAAACCTAACCTAACAAAACCTACAAAAACACGTATAATATTTTTCAAAAGAAAATAAACGACCCGTGGTTTTTTCTTTGATGATTTCCCACCGAGGCGGCGCCGTCTTCTTTATAGTATACATATATATGTGTATAGGTAGGTATTATTATTTTCGTTTTAACGGGAGAGCTAAAAGAAAGAAAATTGAAATAAACCTGCGACCACTACCTATAGGCAAAATATTATAACTTTCTCACAAACGACATTAATCAGTCATCTGCGCGGGTATTTATTGTCTCGTAAAATATTATTATTGTTATTATATTGTGATCGAACAAACTGATGGGTAGATACTATGTACGAAATCGAATAGTTTCTTATTGTTTCTCGAACGAGCGTTAACGACGCGTTTTCTAAAAATAATAATCGAAAAAACAAAATTGTAACGGACAGCCGATAGTCGTTGTGAACTGCATGCTGCATCCGCGGCGCGGCGGTCTTGCACGTCACGATCACACGATCGAATTAAATCTGTCGTGAAAAGATGGGAAAAAAAACCGGTAAAAATAAATAATACACACTGCAGCCGGTAACGAGTATATAATATAATAATAATCAATTAAAAAAAAAAAAAAACCACGAGGAACGTCGAAAGTCGAATCATTATTATATTATATACTTACGCATATTACGCGATTGAAGAGGATACGCGACCTTGACACGGTTGATGCGCATTTATACCGATCCCCGATCTTTCTTTCGATTTATTGTGCGGCGTTGCGACGTTTTGACCGAACGACATGCACCGTTACCCCCCCGGATTTGCGCGTGTGTGTAAATGCCCGTACGTATCTTTATATGTGTATGTATAGTGAATTACAGTAATTATTATTAAAATTACGTTGCGGAATCGGCCGATCGTGTGTACTAAAAAAAAAAAAAAAAACCATCTCGTGCAGTAGCCGCCGGGGTTTTATATATCTGTTTTTTAGCATCTTTTCATCGTCAAGGCCGCGAGGCGAACGTCGACCCCTCCGCCCCCCGGTCCATCGCCGTAAACGCGCGCGCCACCGCCGTTTACAAGATACGCGTATAATATTATGTAGAATTTATGAAAAGACTTAACAGTGCAATATTAATTTGCAACGCACACTCATCGGGTCGATTTTAATCTATACGGTTGTCAAGCACAGACACTGCATGATTGCACGGGAGTGCAATAAGTGCAAGAGTGTAAATGCAAGAAAGGAGAGTGGGAAATCAGAACAAGAGTAAAACAAAACGACGTGGAATTATAGACCGATGAGTCGAGTCCCACAGATCAGGAATTCCGTCGGTAATCCGGACGCAGCGAGTACTTGCGTATGTAGTGGTTTGTTTTTTATCGGATTCGCTCTGAAAATAGAGATTTTTGCGCTATACCTATCTTTTTCTCGAGGCTTTTGTACATTTCTAGCGGCTCTTCCTGAACCGAAAAGAACTCAAACTCGATATTTAGAGTTGTTTTATTGGCGGATGTAGTTATAAGAATAGGGATGAATTTTAATCAGAATTTCGTGGTAATTTGAGAAGTGTAAAAGATGTTTTATAGCTGTAAATCGTCCTCAAGCCTGTGTAGCTTAATAAATTAATTGAATTTACGTCAAGAACGAGCTATTTGAGGGTTATAATTTTCAAGATTCTCAAATGAGCAGTGGTCCATCATAGTTGTCTAACCTATTTATTTACAGTTAACCGAACTCGGCACACCACTCAGAATCATTTTTCGTATGCAATTGTAGCGTTCGTAAGCACTATAGTATAAAACAAATTACTCTATGCATGATATATTTATCGATTCTCTACTGCTTACACAATTAGCATGGCCAAGGTGCGAAACATGTCCGAATTTTTTTTTTTTATAAATCCGGAATAAACACAGGTAGTATAGGAATAAAAATTCAACAATAATGTACAGTAGGTGACCAAACATCGACCGTCCCCGCGCACCACTACCGTCACGAGTCATTTATTCGGCTGCAATTGTCAATCTGAAATTTATTTGATTACCATTACCGTGGTCTGAGGCCACGTTTCTATAACATTATAGTACTATGATGATCACTCGGTCTGTGCGGGGGTTAGAAATAGGACCGCATAATTTCTTTCGTTGTCACCGCAGAGCCCCACAACAACGAAAACTCGAATAATATGCTTTCACTGGTTTTCATTTTCGGTTTTTTTTTGTTTTTTTTTTATGCTTATACGCGTTTCTACCGACTCACGCCCGATTGAAATAAACCAAAGTCGGATGAACATCATGTGTAAGCCGACATTGAGGATATCGGAAAATTGGATATTTTCTAGGAAACTGTCTATTGTTTGGAATATAAAAAAAACATTTGAAAAAATCCGATTCAAAAGTGTAATTTCTATACTAAGTATATTTTTATACTTAGTATATTTAAATTTGAACACTAAACACCACTATGTATTTAATTATAAAATTGATTTGTCCGGAACCTTAAGACAAAAGCCTTTTCAAAATGGAATTTTTATTGCACCCGGAATTTTCGAATGCGGGTCATATTTTGTACCGGGTGAAACTCATGCACTTATTGGTCACAACGCGATCGTTAATCACACTACACCCATCATATTGTATTTTTGTTGTCGTGTCTCGGTGTTTGCTGTACCTATATGCTATTTTTTTTACGAACGAACCGGCTTCACTATCGAAAGCCTTAATTTTCTTTACATTGTATATTATACATTATTAGAATATTGCATTTCACGCGTACAACTCTCCCTTTGGCGCACGCGTATTGTCATTAGCTGCGTGGATTTGAATCGAACGCGTTTGAAATACTTGGGCATCTATAATACTTTTGTTCCTTTCTAGTTGCCATCACAATGGTTGTTTTCCATATATCGATCGAATCGGCCAATAATGATAATAATTATAACATCGGCGATACTATTAACGGTATTATTCTATCATCGCGGCGCGCATTGCTCGACAAATGACAATAATGGTAATAATAATTTTCTCGATCGCCCGGAAGAAAGTATAGGTAAGTACAAATCAGTAGGCCGTAGCCGTTTAATATCGTCTGCAGTGGCGCCGAGCAACGTTTTAAGAAGATGGGCGGACAAAAACCTGTGTAAACCACCGTCCTCGTTTACAAAACAAACTCCAATACAACACTCTTAATTAATATTCTATACGTACCGATTCGGTGAAAAATATGGTTCAGGTACCCATCGTGGGCTCCACTACCATTCACCCGTTGAAAGAAGGATGGTGATCGCCACCCTTGACTGCTTTCTTTGGCGCCACTGATCGTCTTCCAATGAAAATTCTCGCCCCTCGACACAAACTATACTAATTCGAAACATTATACGTGTATAATTTTATGTGAGAAATTCGTTAGCAATCAGCGGCCGATCGATAAATAGCAGCTAAAAACGTATTGACCTCGACCGATTGAACATAATATTCCATTTTGTCTGAGGTACCTATTTTATTCCGCGAGCGATAATGTCTTCGATTTATTTCAAACGGGTCCCGACAGAAAATATACAAATTTACCGTAATATTTTCTATCGTGCATATATACTTACCTATAACATGAGATGACTCGTAAAAAACAAAAAAAAAAATGCAACACGTGACCAACGCAGTACTTTCTTTGCACGAGTGTCGGAGTGTACAATACACGAGAGGTTTACGGTCGGCGTATTGAAAAACGAATATTGTTAAATATTATAATGATTATATGTTGGCCGTGTGGTTTTGAACATTTATCAAAATGTATATTTTTATTTTCTGATTGCTACGGGTTTTTTTTTTTTTTAATTTTCCCCAAAAATCTTTTTCCGCTACTTTTGGACACTTTTAGCGGCTCTCTCTGGCCCAAAACTTGGGAATTATAGTGGTTTTTTGAAGGCGGATTTAAGTGATCAAAAGTTGCATCAAATTTCACCTTTGATGTTTTTTTTAACTTTTAACAACCTCCTATGTAGATTACATCAAACAAAGTCAGGGTAATACAATTTTATATATACGCATGGCGTTAGTATATCAAGAACGTACTTTTTGAGAGTTTCAACTTTTAACGCCCATACCTAACATTTTAGACTCTTAGCAGAGCAAGGATATATTGGTTTTATAATGATTTTTAATTTATTTTAATTTTTCTATGAACAACTTTTCTACCAGAAATTTTGTTCCGATTTTCTAAGCACTTTTTCTGAATGAAAATTTAACTGGAATGGTATTTTAAGTAGGTCATTTTTTGATTTTCCCAGGGATTTTCACAACAAATGGAAAAACCAGGAAAATGTATGAAATGTATTATTTTCTAATCGTAAATATTATTATGTCCTTTTAAAAACATATATAATCGAACTCGAAATCGTTTTTTTTTTTAGCAAAGATTAATGATCAAATTTTACTGTTTTCGTTTTTTTTTTTTTTAAAAGTAGTATACTATTAATGAGTTTAGTATTGTATTATTATGATTTACAGTATTCGGGGGTTTTCTCCCCCTGAACAGTTATGTGCGTAAACCGCATGGGCGGAAATCAAGGGGCCTCTCCAGAAGTTTAAACTACTCCCCAGCCTTAAAAATTTTAAAGGGCCTAAATATACAATAATTGTTAAAATCCAATTGATTGAATATTAATCCTCACCACCAGTAATTTCATCGAATTTCCGCCCAGTGACCCGTCACCGACCGAATGTTATGATAATATTATAACGTAATGCAATAATAATGTTTAGAGAATAATCCTTTCTACACCGGTCGTCGCAATTATAATATCGTGTTCGCGCTCGTATACGGTAATTTATACGCGCCGCACGGAGAATATAAAAAAAAAAAAAAAAAATGATCGTTTTGAATCCGCGAATACCCGCGCCGCATACTGTCCGGACGATTTATGGCATTTCCGTCGTCGTCGTACCGCGAGTGTAATTTATCGCGGCGTTCCGATTATTGTTATTACTCGCGGGCTCGCGCGCCGACACCCGTCTCGTACCTACACGTACACCTAACAGCTGCCCCCGTTAACACCGCGACCGTTAAGCCCGCGTTCGTTTATCACGTCTTATTAGAAAATAAAATGTGTTTCCCGACCGGGATCGACGGGTCGGACGCGTCTTATTTGCCCCTCTTCCTTCGCATTTCCCCCGCGCCGCATTGCGTTCCGCGTGCGGATCCCACGCGGCTATCCGACCGACGACCGGCCGACGGGGTCAGCCGCTATGTACGCACTTGCTGCTCTGGCCCTCGCCGGCATCCCGATCACCCCACCCCCCTCCTCCACCCGCCCGTGTAAACGCTGCTCCGGTTTATGTTTCGCACGCCCTCGCCGTGTCCAATCGTATACCCACCCCGACGCGACCTCCGGCCTCCGACTTATTCTCCGGCCTACTTTTTCCTCCGCGGCTCTCGTCTACGCGTCTTCAGAGAGACGGCTCGCCGGCCGTCCGGACGTGCGGGCGTAGGTTGTGCGCTCGACCGTTGCGCCATCGTTCGTCTGCTCTCGCCCGTCCGGGACGTGAATATTCGATCTGTGAGCTCCCGAGCGCAAATTACAAATGTCGGAACAATATGAACCACGGTTGACACGGGCAACCTCGATCTCTCGTGGCGGTAACGGCAATAGCCGAGTGACGCAGAGCCCGAGTGCGTCCGGCGCGTGGCGGTCGACAATGCAGAAACAACACTAAAAACACGGACGCGACGATATTATTGAGACCGGCCGCGGTCGGGGCTGGGCTACGCGATCCGGTGGTTGTTGACACCCGGCCGTGGTTCCGGCTAGAGTGATTTATCGCGCTCGCAAACGCACGCGGTATTCCACGCTGAAGTATTACGGCTGGCAAAGTAAAATACGGACGAAGATGCGACGGAGTCGTTGAAACGCTGTACCGTTACAAAAGTTTAGACATCGTCCGATACCCGTGAATCGTAATTGTTTTTAGATAAACGGCGGGATTCTGGGAACGCGTGTTCGAAAGAACACTTCTGGTGGAAAATCCGCATCTTTTCAGGTGCGGAATGGACGTTTCGAAGGAATTTCACTCACCTAAAACGCGTGCATAAGCATTTTTAAAATAAACCGCAAGTAAAATTAACGTTGGACTACTGGGGTATTTGAAGTTCCTGAAAAATGCAGTTTTCGTCGCGTTTTCGAGTGAGGGTCGCGGGATTTTCTTTAGTGCTGGGTCGCTTTCGCGGCGTTATCGCATAATAAACTTACACGATGACGATCATCGGACGCCATCCGGAATCTGTTGGTTTCGGTAAAAACGCAAATAGCAAATACACACCCACGCTCATATGAATAGGTTCGTAGATGATAACGAATCGCATACAATTAAAACGTCGCCTGATTCGGATTTACGCGCATTTTTCATTTTGTCAACCTGCATTTCATTTTCACCGCCCACGAATCTCGCAGCGGCACTATAGATTCGCATTCCACACATTGTGACTGGTACAGTCACTATTATTATTCGTGATGTCGTCTCGCACCATTTCAAAACGATATTATTATAACGAATAAAGCGATCTGTTATTCGATACGAATCGATATTGTACGCACATTTCCAATCGACATGAACATCGATATCATTGTCTTCGTGCGTAGTGTATAGAATTCGCAAAACCGAAACTTTCGTTCAAATAACATGGACGTTATATATGATATTATAGTTGTACGTCCATCGTAAACGATAGATTATAAGTATATAACACATGTATTATGTATATATTGAAATGTTTAAATTTAACACTAAGTTTAGAAAAAGTGTCATAAATATGCAGACGAATCCGGCCTTTTTATATACGATTTAGGAGCACGACAATTAGAGCTAGAGATGTAATATACTAAAATTATGCTTTTACGTCCTGGAAATTCGAAATAAAGCACTAAAAATGAAAGAATAAAATAGAAATCTTGTCAAAAAGAACAAATACGAAATTACGTACAATTTCGTGTTCTCGTTCAAAAATACATTTTAAAATACAACGAATTTGAATCGGAACGAGAACCACATACACGAACTTTGGGAAACAACGCAAAGTTCATTACTGTAATCCTTGCATACAGCCCTAATGATAATATTACTCGCGAGTGCGAGCGGAACGAGACGGATATTATAATATTTACTGTGCGTAGGAGTTTCTCGCAGTTTCCGAATACGTAGCTTCGTGCGCTGAATTAACGTTTGTTGTTTATTATTATTATTAGGTAATTTTTTTTTTTTTTAATATTATTCTCGGCGATGACGTTACTGTGCAGAAAAAGAAATCGTTTCCGTGATTTTTCAAGTGCGATGATCAATCGTATAATAGGCACGAGCCGCGCGATTAGATTAGCTATAGTATTATGTGATGTATTGTTTTAAATCCACAATCGATTATTGTATTAAAAAAGAAAGAAAAAAAATGATTAGAATGAAACGTGGTTTATTATGTACACGGAAATTTCATTGAGAAAGAGGAAGCAAAGAGGATCTGGAGATGACTTATAATAATCATCAATCCATCAGAGGGATGGTTTTCGGTAGCTAATTTAGTAATTGGTGCATTTTTGTTTTTTTTTTTTTTTAAATGTTCGATTTACATAGATGACATTTATGCGTACGCTGTATTTCTAACGAAAAACAATTCTAAACAAAGTGTGGGCCAATGTGTTTTGATAAACTTAAATTGAAAATCACATTAATTTGTAATATTATAAAAAATAATTTATAATTGTCCGTGTTTTTTGTTGTCTTACAATTTTGAGCATTTTTATGTTAACAAATTAGTTTAACCCACATAAAACAAAAAAAAAAAAAAACTATTTAAAAATTCAAATTAATATTAATAACACAAAATCACGAACTTTTTTTCTAAATTCTTCACCGTATATAAATAGTGCTAATATGAAAACTCTGTAAAAGTTTCAAGTCTCTACGATTGGTTAAAATAAGTTTGTAAAGACGTTATTGCTTGAATATTCCCGTTGTTCCCAAATTATTAATTAACCATATGCAATAGGAAAATCAAAAAAGGCGGTTTTCGGGTCGATTAAACACAAATACGTCGGAGCGAGATTTCTGGTACGGACAAGTTGTTTTCAGACAAAAAAAAAAAAAAAAACAACTCGTATCACAATAAAAGCAAAACCGATGATACGTTCCTCGTCGCTACGCTCAGAATCCTAAACGATTTTACATTATATTCGTGTTTTTAGTCGTCCGACGTAATGTATTGTAATTCACTTGTACAAACTTATGTTATTATTATCTACCTACGAGCGGGTTGAGAAAAGTCCGTGTTACACGAACGATTCGTGTACAGTCCCGTAATACGCGCATTGCTGACCTATAGATCGTATCGCCGTACGTTTAACCGTAGTCCGAATTCGAAATAATATTGTGTTGCATTTCAATCCCGTGTCCATTGTGTTCGCGGTACGCGTTTAGAGACGGAAATCGTATTGGTATGAGATCGCTGTCGAGATAGCCCAAACGAACATAATAATGTTGTGTTGTAATTTTATTATTCGACACATATACTGGCAGGAAACGCCGCGAGTACATTATTGTTATTATTATATTATTATGCAAATACGACCTTGATGCGAATTCAATATTATCCCGTCTGGGTTGTAGAATAATAAAAGCGCCAAAAATACCGTGCAGTGTACACGGGAACACCGCGCACGTCATAATAATAATACTCGCGCGCCACTGTGGTGTTGGGTTTCAAGTCAACAATCTGATATAATCTATTCGTTTGAAAAGTTCTAACTCCGCAACGGTAACAGATCATAATAATTGTTAAAATAATAACAAGTAACAATCGTTTAGACGTCTCCACGGTATAGGAGAAGTAATAGTTCCCCTAAACTAACTCGACCAATTTTTTCCACTTCTCGAAACTACCGCCGTAACGTCCAAAACAATAGTGTCTATTAGTATTACTGTTGCCGTTGCAATAAATTATATAATTCGAATTTGGAACAGCGATTTTTTTTTTTTTTTAAGGATCAGCAATAAATTATTATTTATTTTTTCTTTTTTTTTTAATTAAACAGAATAATTGTGATTCGATTATATTATGTCACGACGACGATAGTAACAATATAATTATGTACGAGTTTATGTATATAGATGTCATCATCCGATGATTTTATCACGAACCAACGATTATCTGCAGTATACGAAGATTTCGAGTAAATTCGATTTTTATTGTTATTTTTTTTTTTTTTTTTTTTTGAAGATCGGTCATTATTTTATTTACAGCGGGTTCGAAATTTCACTATTATTCCCATACAGCCATAAACCGATATTAACTTTTGATTTTCAAACACATAACAGCCGCGTTTTTAAAATAATTGTTCATTGTCTTCCAAAGCTTGCTGTTCGATGCTAATTATGATACTGGTTCGTTTCGCGTATTTTCAAATGAGAATAAGAAATATATTTTGCGTTTTTTTATTTTTTTTACTTAATTTAAGGGGTTTTAGGAGTTTTTGAGATTTTCGGGTCCAAAATCCGAATTTAAAATTTAATTTTTATTTATGATTAAACGCTACCGAGGTATATTTATAACAAATTATTAAATACTCGTTTTACATTATCGAACAATAGTATACGCGAATCATGTTAAGAGAATTAAACATTTTATTTTGTAATTTTTGATTTTCGAGTAATTATTTTATTTTTTTTTTTTTGAGTGCATTATTTCGAATTTTTAAAATAAAAAATCGATTCTATTTGTTTGGGACGGTTTTTATTTTAGTGGTTTTAAAGGACATTACTTTCCCAGACCTAGTTAATGCTATCTAAATATACATGGATATTATAATTTGTTCGTCAATATTCGTCTATTCAAAACGAAACATCATCATATATTGTTGGAAGGACAATAAATTTGGTTTAGTTAGGTTAGCATTAAATGTTATTTTTTTTTCTTTTGTTAGCAATACATTTTTTATAATAGTACACCGAGACGTTTATGCAGACATGTTTATAACGTTAAATATTTGAAATCGAACACTGCAGCTTACTGTATAAATAGGTATTTAAAAGTAATCATTTTTCGAATTTTCCGACAGCTTTCAAAAAAAAAAAAAACCGCTTTTGAGAAATCAAGAAAAATATACGTGAACGAAAAAGACGACAACTGACGCGAAGAAAACGTATACTACGGTTTTATAATGACGAGAGTTTCACCGATAATAATTATATTATTGTTGTTTTGACGCTACGGTAGTCGAATAATTAAAAACTTGTACTATAATAACCAAAACTAGATTGCAAAAAAATGTTAAAACTATAATTATATTGAATGAAAAACTGTTTCAAATAACTTTTAAAAATATATTATTATTCCCATAGTTTTCATTTGTTTGAGTTTTGATTCGATTAACCGTTTACTATATTGAACCCTACGGTCTGCTGCAATAATATAAGAATCATTAGACAACGTAGCGCTGCAGCTGAATGGGACGTGCTCATTAGTCATTATTCTTATTAAAACATAATTGCGATACTTATATTACAAATAACCAGTGGTGCAACCAGGATTTATTTTCAAAGGGGGCTTAATGAATTTGAAAAAAACTCGATTTTGGATGTTGTTTGTTGGGGTGAAGGGGTTAATGTTAAGTTAGGTTTATTAGTAAAACCTATAAATTGTAAACTTTCATTTATAGACAGCACATATCAGAAAACAATTTGAACTCATATAGATTATGTTTTTAAATATACTTTACTCTCTGAAGTCATAATGTGATAATAATAATAATTTCCAGCCTAAGATTAATTATTCAAATAGAGTGGTTCACCATTTTATCAAGCACTGAATCGGGTTAGGTTAAATGTCTGTACATATGTTTAAATTGGCTATTCCATTAAGTCTCTGCTGTTCTGTAATGTTTCTTAAATAAGTTTCAAGCCTCCTGAGTTTAGAAAATGATCTTTGCTCTTCAGCACAGGTGAATTTGGAAAATTGTACGCTGTGTATAGACACTCGAATTATTGAATGCCACTTAAGTTTAAAAGTGTGTTCATTTCCGTAATATTGAATTATGATTTATATAAAATATGTTTTAAAGATATCCACGATTACGGCAGATTTATGCCACGCAGTATCACGCAAATCGACTTACGGGTTGCTTAAGCTACGCCAGACGTCGAATAAATCTAATGAGCTTTCACGCTCGACTCTGCGTAAATAATAACCACTAAATCTTAAATAATATACAATGGTAGATAATGAATAAATCCTTTGTATTTGTATTTGTTTATTTATATTATAAGTAATAATAGTCCGAATCCACCAAGTTGAAATATAATTGACCACGTTTTCAAATAATGATTTAATACAATTTGGGGTTCAAACTGAAATTTAACAAAAACACATTAAAAAATCCGAATATAAAATCCCATTAAACAAAAAATCGCAAACTATGCTATAGAAAATGTAAGCAGAACTTTAACGTTAAGAAAAAAACCAATTCCTAATTTTTTATGACATGCGCCTACAAAAAAATTATTCAGAGAATTAATTGCTAATTTTAAATTAATAATTATTAAACAATTTTCGTATTTACTTTTTTTTATAACACAAATTTTAATAAAGCATTACAAAAAAACAGATAGACGCTATAATTTAATTTACATTTACTTAATTGTAACAATGCTCTGATAAAATATTAAATACCTACATCGTTAAAAGTATGAAATACAAAATAGTACCTGAAGCCTTGTATGTCACAGCTGAAGTTTTGTGAATTGGTCGAAGATACACAAAGTTATATTGACTTATATTAATAATGTGTCCATTTGATTGAAAAAAATAATCAAGCTTGTTTATAAATATCTCAAACATGCCAGACAAAGTCCAGACGTGTTCGAACCGAGTAGGTACATTATTTTTCTTTTTTTAAAACAAAATATTAATTATAACTATTGAAATAAAAAAAGTAACATAGATACTGTTAATAAAAGACAACCGCCAATCAACAATGGTGTTGTTGCCATAATGGTAATGTACGGCAAACATCTGTTTTACGGCTAAGGTGTTCTGCCAATTAATATCGCTTCAATAGAAAAACGACATTAGACCTTCTTTGTTGAATTTTTAATTTAGTTCATGAGTAAGCTGTTTGTTTTTAAAATGAGTTTAAAAAATTGGAGAATTACGAAAAATAAAAATTGTCAAATGTTAGGATTCTTTTTTTTTAAATTTGTACGGCTTATATTTTCTACTAAAAATTTTGCTTCAAAAGAAAAACAACAAGAAATCTATTTTTCGTTGTATTTTTAATCTAGTTGGTGACCAATAAAGTGTCCTTTATTAGTAGGTAACATTACTTACTTACTATCTGACTGTAGAATATGACAATAATGGAATAGTAATGGGAATTATAATATTTAGGCAATTTGCGAGGACTCCTGGGGGTTTTCTCAAAAAGAGTCCCACGGAGGACAGTTATTTGCTACAACATTGCTACAAAGGCTGTTTAAATTTTTTAAAACAAAATTGATTTCCACAGGAGCGACTACAGTGTATAAGATCCGAAAATTACGAGCATACAAAATAATAATATACCTAATAAAACCGTTTTTTATTTTTTTTATTTATCGTTATGATATTATAATATAGCGCCGATAAATGTAGTTTGTTTCTTGAATGGCGCCCATAATTCTGAATCCAATCGAGTTTTCTGGCGTTGCCAAAATTTACTTGGAAAAGTATCAAATAACGTAGGTATATAATATAATATACTATAATATAACAACTCTATTATCACGTGGTCTATTATTGTTTTTTTTCGATCGCTTCCATAATATATTCGCGTTTGTGTCCGTAGGTATTTCTCGTAGAAATTTTCAACTCTATTGTGTTACTTAACATTATATTATATGAGCCATTGGGGAGAAAAAAAAATCGTATTCGCAATGTAAAGTTAATGTAATTCGATTTTGAATGTAACGCGTCTGAAATTACACTCCACAACGACGTGTGGAATCTATATGCGGCAAATAACATAATAATAAAATATTATTATAATGTATTACGGGTTCCTACATGTGTACTATTATTAATTTATTTGTAAAAAAAAAAAAAAAAAGATTATTATTTGTGTTATTAGATACATAGTTAAGTATTAATAGTATTATTATGTGTTCCCATAAAAATAATCCATCGAAACGCGTGCCCAACTATTTACATACGCAAGACATAATAAAAAAAATGCTTGAAAAATTGAAAATTATATACGTATGCGCCAAATAAACCTGATACTTACCTACACGTGTGGTTGTAATATTATTATATTGTTGGGTTTTTTGTTTTGTTTCAGTTCTCGCGGTCTATCGAGTCAGCGGATCTAGTTCAAAAACCATAGACCAGGTAAAATATAATAATATTTTTGTATTGTACCTTTATAATGATTGTTTATTATTTCGTTACGCACAAAATGGGTGTGCAAATATTCGTATGTTAATGCCCGAGTTATAATAAAATTATATTATTATCATAGAACGAAAAATTGTGTACAATAGTATTGTATTATGTATGTAGCGAGTGTATAGGTTTTCAATAAAAAAAAAAAATAATAATAATAATAATAAATGACCCAATATAGTGACAAATTAAAATTTGTTATGTCATTGTGAAGTATCCCAAATGATTATCAGATTCTGAGTGGAGCCATTGGTTTCACGCTGTATTGTGATATGTGTGATATGTTTTTTATTCTTTCTCCGAATAAGTTTTCGGCCAGAAAACTCGCTCCAATCAAAAACTACCAAGGAGCTTTCTCGTATCTATCACTTTTCTGCAGTGCAAGTGCAACGAACAGACATTTGTTTGAAATTTCTTGTATTTTTCCTGATAAAGAAAGAGGGGGGGGATATATAAAAAAAAGAACGTCGAGAAAACGTTTACGATTGTGTTTTTTTTTTTGTAGTTTAACAATAAATTAACAGCTGTAGAACTGAAATTTTCGCTGAAAACTATGACGTAACCGTTTTTTAGTCGCGTATCGCGTATGCCTTTTTTATTTTTAATCGCGTATTGCAGTAATAGCCGTTTGAAATTGGCGACTCTAGCATTAGATGTCTGCTTTTTTTTTTTACTTCATATTTCGATATTGATATTATAATTGTTTACCCGTGAACGTTGATACGATTAAACGCGGCTCGACGGCGAACAACCGCGTGAAATAACGACGACATCACGAAACATAAACGGTTCGCGCTCGTAATGACGGTAATAACATTACAGCGATGTACCCCGATTTCAAATGTTACGTCGAAAAAATCAAAATATGTTATCGCGTCCCGGTTGTGATATGGGTGTAATGATATTATAGCGCGTGGCTCGGGCAACATAATAATATATCGTACTCTATTTGGATATAATAACAATAATAATATCAACTCGGAGGAATAAAATGGGTTTTTTTTTTTTTTCGGTTCTTTAATAACGTCCATTGCAATAATAATATCGCGAGCATAACCTACTTAACGACCACGCGGGTTATAAAAGTTCTCGGCGCGTACAACACAACGTTCTCCGCGTACCCAATGATAATAATTCCACGATATACCTTCTCCGCAATTAAAACACATAAATAATAGTATTCGATTACTTCTCGTATTTTTTTTTTTTTTTTTTTTTTGATGTTGTTACATATCGTTTTAATATTGTAATATTCCTCCGGACACAACGCCTGTCGTAACGAAACAACTCGATAATAATAATTGACACAATGCGCGGGACAAGCAAAGTTACGTTATATACTGCCTAATAACAGTATGCAATACAGTACGAGTATTTCGTTCAAGTCGAATCGTTTACCCGAAGAAAACATAATATCATTTCTGTTATGACGATGTCGTATCGCAGCCGCGTGTCGGTTCGATCTGATCCGACGGTCTAGTCCACGGTTAACAATTCTATTATTTATAATATATGTGTGCTTTTTTTTAAAAAAAAAAAAATAATTTTGAACAACTTTTCTGCCAGAAATCTTGTTCCGGTATTATAAACTTAGGGGTGGTTTCTATACTAGGGCTACACAATACTACAGAATTATCTTACCCTTTAGCTCAATTAATATTATAAAATGTGACATGGGTTAAAACTCATCTAAAGGCTGAAACAAACTGTAGCTATACCTAATCTGAATAATACAAAATACACATAAGTTCGTTGATGGGAATTTTTAACCATTGTTTTACAAGTAGAACGTTCGTGTTATATAATTTGTGTACGTTATTTTTATTTTCGATTGCATATACTTGTTTTTTTTTTTCCGTGGAGGAAACGAGGACACTAAAAACATTACGTTTTTAAAATCTTCTTATGTAAACAATAAAAATAATAATAATAATAATAAATAAATGTACCCAAGCTTTCAAATGCATTAGGTAGTATTAAGTACGTAATAAACAACAATAATAAAAATACATTATATTAAAATAATTTAATAGTTTTTCGTCGATGGACGTGCCTATATAGAAAAAAAAAACGATACAATAATTTTTAATTTTTTTATTTATTAAATGTCCGTGTAGACACGTGTTATGTAACTTAAATTATTTCGCTGATCTACGCGATGGGTTTATAAATACATATATTTATATAGGTATATGTATACATTGTATAAAATGCAAATTCGAAATAATATCTCAGACCATCACGGACGCGATATTTGAATAATTATACGGGCGGGCGCCGGCTGGGTCATAAAAAAATTAAGATTAAAAAATATTCATACAGTATTGTTTTTAACTGTTTAAATACCGTAAAAGGATGTTCCATTATAATAATAAATATCGACGAATAACGCTGTATAATTCGTTTAGTGTCTTATTTACTGGGAAGGAGGAAGAGGTGGCCTGAGGGCCCTGGACTCCCTCCCATAGCCCCCAAAAAGTCAAATGGGATAAATGTTTGTTAAAACACATGGAGTTAAATAAATAAGTTGATAGGCACCTAAGTATATAATATATAAATATTATACTTGCGATAGATGCGTACGAAAAACAGATCCTTGTTAAATTTGTTTGTACAAAGCCCTTGACCATCATATAGTAAAATCGAAGTTTTATAAAGTTTGATACAATTTATAATGACGACATAAATCGTATAAAACACTAAAAACTAATGCTAATACCCATCTAACAAGATAATACATATTTTCTGCTAGTTTTAGAATAATTAATTGCGTTATCGTTTTGACTTCGAGAGACATGACAAGTGAAATGAACGCGTTCTATTGTGTTTTTGTCTAAATTATCTGTACAGCGAAATTAACGTTTTTCGTCTTCCGCGTAGGAAACCACTGCAATATGTTAAAATTAATAATAAAATTAAAATAATTATTTACAGCGAAATATATAATACAATATTAGTAGCATTACATTTACATATATACATGATCGAACCCCTTAAAAACATGTCCAAGATATTTGAACCTTATAAACTCGGGACAATCTCCCCCTCTCAGCAATAAAAAATTGAAAATACGTCACTGGGTCTGTATGTCGTTAACTAGCGATTACCTATATGAAGGTTTCGAGTAAATTTGAGTTACTATTTCAAAATTAAAAAATATCGAAACGAGTTTATGTTATACGGAGTGATGATGAAATTTTGAAAATATTGCGAACGAGGTATAATTAAACGGTTCTGTAACGGCTGAGACACGCCAACAAAATCAAATTTTCTCGAAATCTCACCGCTTTATGGTAAAAAAATAAATCACCCTGTATACACGTGAATTATATAATATACGACAAAGAAGTGTATTTCGTGCCCTAACGAGAAATCGAATCCAACGTATATGTATATTACACGAATGATCAATCAATCGTGCGCATTATTTCTATGTTATTCGGTCGAATACGATTTTGGTTACAAAAGCTTTTTATTATTATTATCTATTGTTTATTTTTTTTATAATTAAAAAAGCGTATTGGTACGTTAAAAATAATGATACAAATAATAATAATAATAATAATAGTAACAATTGTTATTGTTTAAACGTAACAATATTTACGTATAGAACAACTCTGCTCTCTAGTAATTAAAACAATTTCACTGGAAAAAAAAAAAAAAAACTATCTACTATTATAGAAAATATTTGATAATATTATAATATACCAGTTGGTTGTTGTTTTAAGGGCTAACGCAATTAAACTGTAAAATTCAACAGAAAACATAAATCAAAAATCAGTATGAAATATGTAAAATTGGGAAAAGGCTATTCGAATAATAATAATTTTAGCAACAGCGGCGTATACAAGTCTTCTCAATCAGATGGGAGGGAGGGGAGAACTGTAAAAAAACTCATCCAAAATTACATGTTTGTCTGTTAACGTTAATGTCCTTTAAAAATACACTGTACCCACTTAAGCGGTTTAATATAAAACATGAAAAGATGTATAAAGGAAAATCGCTACAAGTCTGCAATCGTTGGTTTGAAAATTACAAAACAAATAAAATAACAAAATATAAAAACCATCAATAATTTTCAGAAAAAAATACTGTCGACCCAATACGGATTTATATCCGCGGCTGATATATTTATGAACGTTATGTTTTTACTAAAACGAAGATTTTCAAAAATACATTCGACCGTTTACTCGAAAACAACTATTTTGTAAACACGTTTGGAGCCCAGAAAACTGCGCAATTACTCAGGCGTCAATTCGCATAACGCACAATCACATATCTAATAGGCGAATATCAAAGACCGTCTATTGTACTCGTATAAATAAATAGATACGGCGTGAATGTTGCACTGATGAGCAGTTAGCCGCGACGAATAAAATATGTTCTAATTGTTCTAAAACTCGACGATTCTCGTTCATCGTACCCCACTGCCCGGGGCTTTTGCCAATACACAAAACGTTAAAAAAACAAAACGCCCGCGTTCCTGAATACGGTCTCCGGGTGAACGTTTGAACGACACGCCGACTTGCGGGTAGTAAAAGACCGCACGGCCGCGTGATTTCGAGCGGAAGCGACGGTTCGAGTAGTGTTACGAGCGCCCGGATCCAAGTTACGCGAGTCCGCATTCGAACGGGATAACGGGACCAACACGTTATAGACTAGAACTGGACCGACGTAAACGGCGTGCGCGAAGCCGGTTTTCGAGCAAGGTTTTCTACCCGGCCGGCTTACAATGGTAATCATCCGGGTTCGACGCGAACTAGAGCGGTTTAGCCGGTGCCGGGCAGTTTTCAGACAGTAATCGAAATCGCGTCATCGCGGCGATTACGCCGCGGACTGCGCGAGGCCCGCCGTAACCGTACGGCCGGAACGGACGCCGTTCGCGGGAGAAACGAAATCGGGCCGTCTCCGAAAACCGAACGAGAACATCTGCGTCGGTTCTGTTGGGGGCGCGTTTTAATTGCGCGGTACCGCGGGCACACTCGGTCCGGGACGCGCGCGCCCCGCGAGGGACCCGGCGGCGCGCGACGGATTTCGAGTTTTCGGACCGACGGCCGGGCGCCGGGCCGGAAAACCGGGTGGTGCGCGGCGCCAAATTAAACGGCCGAGAATCCGTACTCGGGCGACGGATTGAACACCGTGCGGTCGGCGGCGCGTCAGTGCGGGTTTTTCTCGAGTCGATCGCCCCGGTGACCGAAACGGTCGGGCGGGTATGGGCGACCGGACACGGCGATTGAGACGTTCGCTAGTTCGCAGACGGTAAACGCCCTTGGTTTTGTGTATCGCGCCCGCGTCCACGTGCGGTGGATATCACAGCGTGCGTCACGCGGTCGCGGGGTTCGCGGCCGTTGTTGGTCACGCCGGCCGCGGTATTATACCCGGTAACCCGGTTGTTCGCGCGAAACCGGTAGGGACGCGTCGTCGGGGTTTTTTTTTTTTCCGCGTTCCTCATTGTTTTCGTCTTAACGCGCCCGCGTTGTGCCGTTGCGCAACAGCCGCCGCGACCGGCGGTTCTCGAGATTCGCCGGCGCCGATAAACAACGCGAAAACAATACGAACGCGCGGGACAAACGAACGGGGGAAAAAAAATAAAATAATAAGAAGAATATCCTCGACGCTCCCGCGTGTTACCGGTACACGTACGCGCATAACAACTCGTAATGTATTGTCGTGTCTGTACGACATAATAGGTCGGAGTGCGCGGTTTTTCTCTCTCTCTCTCTTTTTTTCAGCTGGCGTTTGCAAATAAAACACGTTCGTCGGGCCGTTTTTTACTTCCTGTTGACCTACCGCGCCGACGATTCTCGTTTCCGATACGCGCGCGTCGACGTCGACCGTCGGAGACGATTCCGCGAGACGACCGTCTCCGGGGCGCGGGCAGAGTTTATCGGCGGTGACGATCGTGCCCCCGCCTCGTGACATCCGCGAAAGTTCAGAAACGCGCCGCCGCGGAAACCCGCGGCGGTGTCCCTCGTTCGAACTTTCTGATCAAAAAAACAATAATCGTCACGCTAAATTTACACGCATATCGAATAACTAAACTTTTCAATCACAACACGTGTGTTGAAAGGTTGTGTGTATCACTGATTTACAGCTAAATAACCTCATATTTCTCGGGGTCGATTCTATCGGTAAGAGAAATTCAATTTAACGTTTCTCTCCGGACGTTTCTGGTCTTATTCCTATTTCCTCGGCGGTTCGGGCGCGTCAACCGTTCAAAATAATAATAACTATTTTGTATTCTGAGAGAGGCGAGGAATGGCATATTGGTTTTATCGCGACGTGTTTTACACCAGAAATCACGGTCCAATCAAACGCCTTCTTGTACACATTTTTTCACCTCGGTACATTCATTGGGGAGGCGATCTTTTAACGATAGTCGGCTCCGTTGTCGCAGCTTTCTCGTCGAAACTATAAACGGATTCGCGTATAATAACGTACGGACAATCCGCTCGTTTCCTCGCACCCAGCCCACGGGCCGGTCACTTCCGGCGACGAAAATAACGCTATCTGAGCGATTTTCAAGACTTCCGGATAAATAATAATCCGTAAATCGACAGTATTTACGATAATTATAATAATTACATTAAGATATCGTCTCCGATCGCTGTTGTTTTCGTTTTAACCGTTCGGTGGGCGACACGATCGTCACTATTATTGTATTAGTTGGTGCGGTCTAACAGTAGTGGAGAGGCGCCGTTAACTTTTATAATATTGTATTCGGTCTTGACAAACTCCCACAGTTATTATTCTATTGTTCGGTTATCAGGTCCAGCTATCGGACCACGAAATTTTCCCAAACATCCATGAGCTCTACATTCGATTTCCGAAATTTCGTCGGTTTTTCTCTACCGGTGCTTCATTTTAATTATTTGAAGTATCCTCATTCAACTTGATATATTATGTTTATGAAAATTAACTGTAAAACTTCGTACACACAATGTTAAGTCAATTAATTGTCAACCGACTAAAAATGAATAAGTATACAATATTACAGTATACGGGAAGTACGCAATATTAAAAAGAAAAATTCGAATGAAACCAGAATAAACCTTCTGAATGAAAACATAATACCAAGATTTATTTACTTTAACCGATTAAATTTTTATTTTAGAAAATGTATTGTAAATGATACTTTTGATGTAAAAAAAAAAAAAAAAGAATAAAACCGATTTAAGTTTTTACACAAATACGTTATTTCCTTATATTTAAATATTATTTATCGCATAATAAGATAACAAGTTAATACGAATTAAACGGGATTAACGTAAGTACCTATATTTACTATTAAACCGTTCACCGTTTGCTTCGAGGTTTAAATTCAATTATAAATAAAAAAAAAAAAATAACGTTAAACTTATCATCATCATACGTGTTTAAACAATTAGTTATACATTATAATTTCTAGAAATTACACAGTTATCAAATATTATAGCGATATTTGAGAACGAAGTCTATAAAAAAAAAGTTACATAACATATTATTATAGTTTTTTTTTTTTTTTTTTACTTGTAATCGGAGTATACGCGAGTATATAGGCACCTACCTACTGTAATTTAATTTCTACTCGGACAATACTAGAAATCTTTTCGTCGGATTATAAAAAAAAAAAAATATATTAAATGGAAAAAAAAAAACAAACGGTCTGGTGAAATTTACTCGAAGCTATCGCGTATACCTAAATCGCCGACTACCTATTAAAAGTATACAGTTAGGTACGTGAATAATGAACAGTGATTGTGCACTTAGAAAACGCAGAAAAAATATTACCCGCTGTTTATTCATCCTACTTAATTTTCCATGTAAACAATCGTATTATCTATTGATTTTACTATATAGCGTGTGCTGCTTTTAGTTTCTGAGCGTAATATATCGGTTTTACTGCTGTGTGTGTTTTTTTTTTTTTTTTTTTTTTTTTTTAAATACTTTTCTACCAGAAATCTTGTTCCAATAAAAAAAAAAACAAAATCGCTTTTTTGTAGCATTTTAGAACTAGTTTATGGTAGGGTGAGGAATACATTTTTTTAATTTTTCTTGTAGCATAATAATTGCGAAACCCGGCAAAAAATATGTGAAAGTTTAGGGATATAACTGTTTCATTATTTTCGACATTGTTTTTTTGTTGTAATTCACTTAACCATTGTTGGTGCCTACGATTTCCAAAGAATACTTATATTAGCCTATTTTAAACGTGGCGAAATTTTCAAAACATTTTGATGATTTTTGAGCTATTTACAGGCATATAAAATTGTCTAGATTTTAGTTTTTATTTGAATAAAATTGCTTTTGTCAAGCCGAAATACCTAAAATATTATTATTTGTTTGTTTTTAGTTTTAGGTACTTGATGGTAAAAAAAAAAAAATTGAGCGTAATGTACTACTTGTATTTTTATTATTTTATTTTTTTATGATTATTTAAATTTCAAATTTGACGAAAATTCCCGGCATTTCTAAACACGTTTATCAATCTTCTTTCATAATCATTTTCATATCTGTAAACAAGTATTTATACAGAACAATATTCATTCGTCGGATTAAAAACTTCCCCAGAGCTTTCTCTTATAGAATTTTAAATATATAGATGCTAGATTAAAAAAGTCGTTTTTTTTTTTTAATTACTTATTAACAGAGTAAAACTTTCAAAAATACCTACGCGAAAATGATATTATTTTATGAAACGTCAATTTATATTAAAATTGATTTTTTAATTATAATTCTATTATATTAACGTTTTCAACACACAATATTATTTGCAAAATATGTCGACTTCGATTTTTATGGATGAGATTGTCTTGGCCGCGTATAAATACTGGAAATTGATCTTACTGTAGGTAGCAATAAAATAAAAGAGTTCACTTTAAAATTTACCAACAAATTGTTCCACTTCCACTCAGAATAGTGTTTTGTTTGCGAATATTTATTGTGTTTATAGTTTCTTAATTTAACGTTTGAACTGAACTTGATCACTCAATATCATGCAACTACTAATTTTTCAGTTATAAACATCGCATTTCCTCGCTCCGTCTAAAAGTGTCGATACACGAACATTGGAAAATTTGGCCCTATCGAACTCGAGTAAACAATGTGATACAGTTTAGTAAATAAAAACGAATTTAAATACACCTTTTTTTCTTTTTTTTTTTTTTTTTTATAGCTACGTTAATCTAATCATGTTATGTCCGTTTACTGAAACAGTCTCGCATAGCCGAACATCGCGGTGAACAAAACGCAATATATTATTTTCATTGTTACGTTTTAGAAACAATCAACTATTAACAAATTTGAATATATAATACATCCGTGCGCAGAACGGATCGGGAATATGTTATTATTATTGTTTATAACCGCGCGTAGGATGAAATATACGGACGTGCGATACGATCGTCTTTTTTTCATAAACTAAAAGAAACCGCATAATTTAACTCGTACCGAGCGACGGCGGTGTTGCCGTCGCGGGGCTCTGCGAAGACGAACTTTCAATTATCTAGATAAAGATAAGAGATAACTGCTCGAATAGTTATCCAGACGAAAACAAAATTTATGCGTAATAACAATATTTGATTGCCGTGATAAACATGTAAATACTCATCGTGTAATCTGGATAACAAATAATAATCATAATACAAAAACCATAAGTTTTTCGTTACTTGTCACAAAACCGGGTGAACATCGTTTGTTACGCGTCCAGATTTCGCGTGAAAGTTATGCGATTTAACTAACGACAACTCGTTTGACCATATTAATACATCGAGTTATATGTTTTAGTGCATCGATTTAAAACAGTTATCAATACGGTTCAATTAATTTTGTTAGATAACGGTTCAAACAACTTGTGTTTCGTTCAGACAAGAAAAAAGATAAATACTGTACGTATCTTGTTGAACTCGTCCGGATGAAATACATCGTCGGTTATTACCGTCAGTGATGTACAGAGATAAATTTTAAATTATCCAGATAAATATAAGAGATAATTTCTAGAATAGTTGGTCTTGTAACGGTTCGCTCACCTAGACATTGATGAATATATTCATCGTCTAATCTAGATATTAAATGTAATCTAAATCTAGATGGTAAGAAAAAAAAAAAATCTAATTTTTCATTAATTATTATCGTACCGTAAGCGTCATAAGTGCCCGAACATACGCGTCTTGGTTTCAAAAAGGTCCTGTACAATCGGCGCGATTTAATTAAATTTAAAAATCAAAATACGTTGCTTGCCAATTAATATGTCGGACTTGAACAAATTTCATCCAGTTGACGCGATTATTAATCATTTCGGACTCTATCGGATAACGCAATAGATATACACTTACGGTATCTACGGTATCTGCGCCCGTACCGCACGCCTATTCAGTGGCGTGGCGATAGGATGGCATGCACGGGCAATGAGCCGCGGGCCCGTGACATTTAGGTTGCCCCGAATCGGGACCCGTGGTATTATTATTGGACGAGTGACGGTCTTTTTCGAACGACCTTTTTTTTTTGTTTATTTTTCCAATCGGCCTTTACATAATGTTTCGCCGCGGGCATGAGAAGTTCCATTTACGCCACTGCGCCCCCCCCCCGTCTGTGGACAAAACGCTACGCGCCGGTATTGCGTATCCGTTATTGTAATATTGTACTTTTCCGGCGGTACTCAAAACGAATCCTATCGCGTTGTAACACGATAATATTTTGCTATTGATTGTGATAACCGACGAATCGCGAACGCGTCCGACACGCCGTAATCGTATTTACGTTATTTGTTTGTTGTTGTTTTACTACACACGTCGGTATTTCGAACGTCGAGGACGACTACCCGAGTTACTCGCCCGCGTACCGATGATATTTTATAATAATAATATATCATAACAGTCGCGTATCATCGTCGTGTTGTATAGGTTCGCGGATCAGAGCCGAGTAAAAGTTCACCGGATGATAATAAATGTATGTATATATATAACATCGCGAGTAGCGGCGCAGACGTTCGTGCGAGGTCTCCTCTTAATGTTATTATTATTTATTTATTTATTTTTTATTTTTATTTTTTTTTTTTTTTCAACAAACTCGGTTCCCATCGATGTTTTTTTTTTTTTTTACCTTCTCCCGCGGACGAGCTGAAGAAATATCGGTTTGTCGTGACTGAGCGACCACCTCGCGGCACGAAACCGTCCCAAAACGGTCCGCGATGTCGATTCCCCGAGTCCCGTGGTTCCCTCCTACGCCCCAGCTGGCCTTCTCATTCTAACCCCGCGACCAATTAAATGGTTTTTTTTTTTTTCGCTCTCTATCGCCGCGCGTTACAAACGCGACGACACCGGTGTGCACGTAGCGAAATATTAATAATATTGTGACTGATGACCGTACGCGTCCCGGTCGAAACATAGACACTTATTATAATATATTATTATTTTTATTACTAAATACACGCGTTTTAGGTCAAATTGCCAATACCGACCAGAGAGAGCCTACCGCAGGTGGCCGAAGTGTTGAGGGCGGCCGCTTACTTGGAAGACAGCGATGAAGTGGACAAAAATTTCCAAGGGCAGCGAAACAGTTACAAGAGGTTGCCCAGGAAGTTGGGATCCGAAAATCCGCAAACGAACTCGGAACTACAAGAGTATCAAGGTATTATTATTATTATTATTATTGCCATCACTGTCATTGTCATTATCCGTAAGTGGACAAACGTATTTTTTTACGATTGCCGTTTATTCCGCCATGGTATCACTAGAGCGGATAATGAAAATTATACGCCGTGCAATAATGTCGTGCAAATACGCACGCATTACGCGATTTTTATAGACGTTAATTTAGCCTGATTCGTTTTATTTTTTTTTTTTATTTCTAGGTGTAATGGGTCGACCCGGCGTTGACTTTCCAATACTGCCTTCTATACCCCGCACCGATTTCAGCTGTAAGAAAATGAAAAAATCCGGTTACTACGCGGATCCCGAAACCGACTGTCAAGTACGTAGCGGAACGTAATCAAATTTCGATAAATTAAAACTGTGTCGAAAGGACACGTCATGTTCAATTTTTAAAAAAAGACAGAAAAACCCGTTGAGCACCTAGAGTTTTACAATGTTTCATATGCCTTCGTATGTTTCAATGCTGCAGAAACGTATAGATGATAATATCTAACACTATAAAATTAATAATTAATACGACATTCGTGTTTCGACACACGTCGATTTCACGTATTGGATCGACATTGGGATATGAACATAGTCGGCTCGAGCAAGTCAAATTAATAAACGTAGGACGAATTACGCGGAGGGGAATACCGAAAAATAGATGGTTAGATGCGATCGAGAATGATGTTAGCAAAGCTGGTGTATGCAAGGTGGGAGATTGGGTTGAGTGGAAATTCACGACGAGGATTGCACCGACCCCGTATAATTGGGACGAAAGCGAAGGAGGAGGAATCAAATAAAATAATCGAACAACACCTCCATTTAAAAATTAAAAGTTAACCAGTCTAATTTCACGTCGAATCTAACTTTTAAATTATTTTTTGTGCACAGGTGTTCCACATTTGTGACAACGGTATGAAAGTTTCGTTTTTGTGTCCGAACGGTACCGTCTTCCGTCAATCTCATTTGATTTGCGACTGGTGGTTCCGAGTTGACTGCGAAAGATCTATCGAAATGTACGAGGAGAGCGCGGAACAGTTGGCGACCGATCAGAGGGCTTTCAAAGAGCGGACCGAGGCTTTGGCAAAAGCCATGCTAAAGGTACAGACTACGACGACGCAGAGCATTACCGATCGCGTTGTAACGGACCGTTCGTTCGGGCCGAGCACGACCGTTTTCAATTCCGAAAGCCGACTACCAGATCGCGCCCGATATTTCAGCGACTATTCGGCCGGCGAAAATCAAGTACCGGCCGAGACCGGTTCGTTTGTCGGGAATCGATTCCCGTCGAATTTCAATAATAACTATTATACCCAATCCAAATCGCCCGTAGGAAACTGGGACCAGACCGCCAACATCCAATCTGCTGCAGGTAACAATAATAACAACAACAATTATTATCAAACGCAATCGTCGACGACCGCTCAACCGACCTGGAACCAGGCGGCCAACAACAACAACAACAACAACTATCAAGGTGGCTCTAATCTTCAGGCACAGTCTTCGACGACCGCGCAGCCCGCCTGGAACCAGGCCACCGCCGATCGCAATAATAATAACTACAATAACAACTATTATAGTTATCAAAGCGGTTCTAACCAGGGACAATCGTTGACGACCGCGCAGCCGACTTGGAATCAGGTCGCGGTCGATATCAATAATAATTATCAAAGCGGTTTTAACCAAGCGCCGTCCACGACGTCTGCGCCGCAACCGAGTTGGAACCAGGCGGCCGCGGTCAATAGCAATAACAATAATTATTATCAGAGCGGTTCTTACCAAGCGCCGTCCACGACGTCTGCGCCGCAACCGAGTTGGAACCAGGCGGCCGCGGTCAATAGCAATAACAATAATTATTATCAGAGCGGTTCTTACCAAGCGCCGTCCACGACGTCTGCGCCGCAACCGAGTTGGAACCAGGCGGCCACAGCCAATAACAATAATTATTATCAGAGCGGTTCTTACCGGGCACAGTCCACGACGCCCGCGGCGCAGCCGACTTGGAATCAGGCCGCCGTCGGTAACAATTATTACCAAAGCGGGTCTTATCAGTCCACGACCACCGCGCGACCAGTGTCCGGTGTCCAGAACGTCAACAGTTTCAATTCCGATTACCAATCGCAATACGCGCGGCCGAGCGCCCAAAACCAAGTCGACGCGTCCGGTTCGCAGGCAGTTTATCAGCCGCAACCCACGGCCGCCGTGCCGCAGCCGGACCCGGACCAGGCTAACAATCGCAATAACGACAACGACAACAATTACCAACCGGGTAACAGTAACAAGAACATCGATTACCAAACGTCGCCCACAACGGTGGCCGCCGGTGGAAATCCCTGGAACAGCCATCAGGGTACCGACGGCGATTTCCAAACCGAAGTAACGTCTTATCAAACCTCGCCGACGACGACGCTGGACGTGACGGCGGACGGCCAGAGCGCCAATAACAACAATAACAACAATTACGGCGGCGCTACGAATTACCCGAAACCGGCGAAAACTACCGCGGCGCAAGTGAACGGCTGGAGTCATCAGGCCGTGAACGACTTGACGCTGTCCACCGACGACCACCAATCGCCGACCGCGGTAACCACGGTACAACCCGACTGGAATCCACAAGACGCCGCGGGCATTACGGCCGTTAATGGCGACCAACAGCCGCAACAGCTGCAGTCCCGACAACCGTACAGCCAACGGCCGACCGCGTCAACGTTCCCCGCGGCCGAAAACGATAAACAAAACGCGCCGGCCAGAGAGAGCCAAGTGCCCGCCGAATCCGCTTCGTTCGTAGGCCACAACAACGCGCCGCTGTACGGTTTCAACCTGCCGAACGATTATTACCGTACGCTGGTGCCGCAGACGAATCCGCCGGCGACCACGTACCCGGCGACCGGTTCGTATACGAACGACCACCCGGACGGCGCCTTTTCTTACATCGAATACAACCAAGACATCTCCACCACCGTCGGCGACGCGGTGACGACCACGCGGGAACCGCCGACGACCACGGCGTTCGATTATACCGGCAGCGGCCGTGACGATAATTCCACGCTGCCGCCGTCCGGAGAGACGTTAATCCCGAACATGATAAACTCGCTGCAGACGTTCCACGCGGACAACAATAACAACGCGCTGTACGACACGTTCGACACCTCGCCAACGAACGCCGACGACGATTCCGATTCGGTCGCGCTGTATTTCAATCGTCTGAACGATCCGCAAGACGATCGCGCGGTCACTACCGTCGCCAGCGATTTGCAGTTCAACGGCTATTTCGAACAGACGTCCAGGGCGTACACCAACGGCATTAGCCCGTTCTCCGGTACCAGATCCGCAGAAACCACTACGCCGGCAGTCGCCGTCGCCGCCGTGGTCCCGAGTAAAGGCTTGCACATACCCGCCGTGTTGACGCACAACACGAAACAGGCGTACGACAAACTCTTCACGAACGACACTAAAAGGGAATCGACGACGGCGACCGCGACGACCGCCACCGCCGTCGCCGCGGGCCAACCGGCCGCGGATGTCGGCAGTAAAGGCGCCGCGCCGAAACCGGGCGACACGGCGAACCTCGGGCTCGCGCTCAGTTTTAACCATTCGTCGGCGGAACTGAGGGAACTGGCCGCGGTGTTTACGCGAGCGCTGACCGCGTACCTGGACGACCCGGAAAACTTCCGCAAAATACTGGCCGAGGTGCGGCCCACCGAACCGCCGGGCCCCAAGACCGGCGGCGGCGCGGCCGACGAACAAGAAGTGTTGGATTTCTCGGACGATCCGAAAGGCGGTTACCGGAGCACTCGCAAGCCGACGACGGCGGCGTCGGGTACGCCGGACACCGACGGCGGCGTGCCGCAGAACGTCAACGCCCTGGCCGACCTGTCCACGACCATTCCGCATTACACCACGTCGCCGTTAATAGATATAACGTCGAAATTCACCGAAGCGCCGAACGCGGCGCCGGGTCTCCGGGAGTACGCGCCGCTCGCGGACGGCGAACAGCTGCAAACGGCCGGCAGCCACTCGTTCTACTCGAGCAGGGACAACAGCGTCGAGACGCCGTCGAAAACCGTCAGGCCGCCGCCGCCGCTGCTGCCGACCTCCACTCTGACGTGGACCGTGTCTCCGATAATCGACACCGACGGGGATACCAAAGCTACCACCCCGCAGTTGCCGCCCGTTTACTTCACCACCGCCGCGGCCGCTGAGGACGCGGAGACCACTGCGATCGTGCAGAAGGCCAAAGAGATGTTCAGCCAGCTGAACGAGTCGGACGCGAGCATATTGATGAACGTCATGAAAACGTCTCATGCCAACGACACGGTCAAAAGGTATTGAAATTAAATGCGTAAAAAAAAAAAAAAAAAGCATCCGGTACCGCTGGTAGGTGCGCCGCTGTTTAAGGTGGCTAGTCGGTGGACAGGGCGTTGGCCAACTAAATACGCATTTCGGCAGAGTCTATTGAGTCGTATTCGTTCCCCCCTCGTTACCCGGATATGAACAAAAGTCATACGGGAATTCGCCGGTTTTCCCCTTTTACCGGTGCAGTAGATAACGGGACGTATTCCGGATAGAGCCCGGCCCGTTCGATTTCCTCGAAACCGATCTGCCTAAATGAAAATACAAATAAATTGTTCGAAATCATAATTCCGGTTGTGTGCCGTATAAAGCAATACAGACGCGTAAACAGTTAGTCCGGATAAATGCGAACACCGCACAGTCGACTACATCGATCATAAATCCTTTCCACCGGCCGGGCACGGATCCGGGGAGGGGCCCAGGGGCCCGGGCCTCCCCGGACATGTTATTTCTCCGATTCTCATAATTCCGTTGATCCCGATTTTACCGTGTTCCAATCGCTGATACGCACGATAAAATAATATCCGTAATACGTATTATACTGTAGTTTGATTGTATTTGTGTTGCTGAAAAACCGTCGCCCCACACCCAGATCTCTGCTCTAGATCCGTGCCTGCCTTCGGCTCCATTCGATTTCACGCGCGCCCGTCCACGAGCGCGGTTATCTTTTCGGCTATTCGTCATAATTTCCCGGGTCTTTGTTCGCGTTTTGTTGAACATTTCACACAAGTCCGAAAACTTGTACGCGATACGCACGGTACGCAGTCGAAGGCTATTTTAAACGGTAACCGGTGTTTTGTACAGGTTGGTCTTGCTGTTGGTCAACGATCCGAACAAGGAAAACAGCCCGGAGCAGACGCGGCACAACATTATCGAAGCGCTGCTGGACAACCGGGGCAGTACCGCGGCGGACCAAGCGTACGAGTCGTCGTCGCCGACGTCCGCGTTCCCGCCGGCCCCGCCGGGAATCCCGTTCGGCCAGAGAATCCACGAAGACGGTACGCCGATCGGCGCGTCGGAAGGCGAACAGCACAAGAAATCGAGAAAGGGCGTCCGGAGGCGGGTGCACGTGCAAAGGAGCCGGCAGGTGACCGCCGCGGCGATGACGACGCCGGCGGCCGCGTCGAACGCGTGGCACGGCGCGAACGACGTCGGCCCGGGGCTGAGCGCCGATTCCGACGCCCGGGCGGTGGAACTCCTCAAGTCCCTGTACTCGATCGCGTCCAAATGGTCGTAGTGACGGTTCCGTGCGCCGCCGACGGGATCTCTCCCCGTCCCGTCCGATGTGTGTCATACGTAAAAAAAAAAAAAAAAATAAAAAATATTGTAACCGCGTGCGAATCAAATTAATTACGTTGCTTTTTGTAATAATTTAATTATTTTAAGTAGGGAAATATTATTATTATTATTTTTCATTATTATTATTATTATTATTAATATTATTATTTATAACCACGCGCTCGGGGGGTCGCGGTCAGAACCGATAAAACGCGAGTCGAGTCGATCGCCAATCGATTGGCCAGGACGTGTTGCCGCCCCGAAATCCCGATGTGAAAACCGTTTTGCGCGGGGGGAGGGGGGGAAACACCACTCGGACCACGGACTCGGTCGTGGGGTCGAATTTCCGCCGTACAAAAACGAGCGCGACGTCTGTCGTAATTTCCGTCGACACTTCAACCGCCGGCGTCGGCGAATCGCGGCCCGCGATCCCTAAACCGAATACGAGTTGCGGCCCGGGTCCGTGAGACGGACGTACGAATCGCGGTGCTGTGACGGTTGCCACTCCACGTCGGTCTATTAGCGTAGCCCAGAGCTTCTTTTTCGCACATTTTCTCCGTTTATTACTTCTGAATCGTGTACATAAGCCCCGGACTGAACTCCGCGTAAAACGTCGACGGGGTCATGGATGTTAGGAACGGCGTATGACCGACACGTTTAGTATCGACCGTCTTTATATTTCACGTTAGATACCGGTTTCGTTAGCGGTACATTATAGAATCGATAAAATACAATGTAACTGCACATCAGCGAGAACGTTTCTAAACAAAAATGGTTCCGCGGGCCGCAATTGACCCGCAGCCATACGGCTTACCGGGCCGGGATCGACATCGAAAATAATACGCCGGGCCGCAAATCACCCATGTGCCTCAGACGCGGAAAACTTGTCGTTTTACACGGTTCACGAATCTGACCAATTTATAGAAACCCGTAGGAATTTCAATACCGCGTACCGTTTAAGTGGAAAAACCGAAAAAAAAAAAAACGTCGCAGAGTTCCCGTCGTTTCGCTGTGAACATTCGGTTTGTCGACCGAGTAGTCCCCGTGTAGTTTTGGCCGCGCGCGAAACGGTTTTTCGCAAGCAACTTTTCGACGACTCCGCGACTACACGATAAATTATACTACCGCATGGGCCCACTGATTGTTAAAGTGTTTATACACGGCGAATAATTCCGAGTTGATAAAATTTCATTATTCCACGTAAGCCGAGAAAATTGCCTATACGCAACGCCTTAAACGCGGGAGGTAGCACGTCCTCCTGGACGCGATACAATTTTGCGATTTTCACGAAAACCGTTGTCCGTCGCCGCCGTAAACTCCCGCAAATCACCGCGCGATACGTTTATGCGGTTTTCCGAATAAAACGTTGTCGCCGTTGAACGCTTACCGAAACACCCGAAATCAACCCTCCTGACCCAGAGTCCGCGCGTTCTCCGATATCTTAATGTATTTTACGTCCGCCGCATCCAAAGACGCGCGTGTTCCGGAACGTTCCGGAAAGCACGGCGACGGACACTGGGGAAATAAATTCCGCGAAACGACGCGATCAGAAAGTACAGTGCAATCACAAAAATCAGGAATCCAGAACGTGACTGGTCTTCCGGACGTGCCGACGACGTCAATAACGCCGAATAAGGAAAACCATATTACAGAACGCGACTGCGAATGCCCGTCCCGGTACCCTAGTAAATTATCATCCGTTTTCCGGAAACCTTCGCCGTTTCGATTATACTTTGCTCTACTCTGCGGTTTTGTCTTCTGGATATCTAACGATCCGGCCAATAATAGTTTTCCGAAAGTTGAATACGGCTCGTCGCACGGTCAGACCCGCTCGCGATTATACATAGTTGCTGCCATCGCCCAGTACGGAATATCATAATAATGTATACATTTATACTCTAGTCCTTGGCGAATCAGCGTGTTACTGTATTTAGGCTTAAGTTCGTGTTGTTTTTTTTTTTTTTTTTTCTATATATTATGCAAATATAATAGTTATAATATTATATGTAATTGTAAAATTTGCTCATATATCAAAAGTAGGTTTCTATATGTAATACGTATAATATACATATATATATAATAATAATAATAATAACATTGTACTAAAAATATTTAAGATCGGATTTCAATTTTAACGCGTCGTCGCGCAAAACACAATTTTTGGTTATACGACGGCGTCGCGGCTGTTTCGTTTTCCCCTAATTACGCAGCGGCTTTCGCGCAAATGGGTGCCTAGGAGAAACGGGAAATTTGGCCCGAAATTTCGATCGGTCATCAACAAGGCGAAAACCGACATTATTTACAATTATAATGATTTAGCGATTATTCGGTAATTTTAAATAAAAACAAAAAACCAACTCGTATTCGTTGAATCACTGATAATTATTATTGTCTATCGGTCACATCGAATTTAAGCAGCCCGATATTTTGATCAGCCCGGGCGGGGATCACCTGTCCACCCCGAAGCAGAAGTGAGGTCGAACTGCACTTGTATTTCAGAAAAAAAAATTAAAAAAAAGGTAATTGTCGTACTACACTTGGACCAAAAAAAGCATTGCAACAAAGATGTTTTGAACATAAAACTTAATTCAATGTTTCGTTAAATTCCCGTTGAATCATTAACCTACTTAAAAATGAGATTTTTTTTTATATACCTATGTAATTAAAAAGCTCTTTTTGAACTTGACAAATTATTATTACTCAGTAAAATTATTTTGCCAGAACGGAAATTGTAATAGTTTCTTCGTAATATATTCGGTTTAAGTATTCGAAAAATTCGGTTTATGTTGGCAGGATAATCGGCTGTTTATGCAGAGAAGGGAAACTAATGTTTTTTCATAACGTTTAAATCGAGTTTTTCCACGCTGAAAGCATCACCTTTTCGACACAAGTGCAGTTCGACCGTTACGCGTTTTCGACCCGAGCGCAATAATCCGAATAATCCGACCGTTTAGATAAAAATAAAAATACAATAAGACTATCACCCCTCCACCCTCGCCCACCCATCCGTTTCGTTCGCGAAACGGCCACTAGGATTCGCCTATTCACTCCGTCACTAAACTATACGTTATTTGTTTTTTGTCTGTACTATATAATTCGCCATCGAACATTGTGTGCTTGGATTTCAAACCGCACGTTGTATTCAAATACGTATTATAACAATCACCGCGACGTTTAAACGATATTTTACTATTTGATATTCTAGTATTATTTTTTTTTTTTTTATTTTGTTCAATGAACGTTTATTTCGTATACTTGGCCTGTTGGTTTTTTCCTTTTCTTTTTTTTTTTTTTTTAAATATTATCATATTCTAACGTCTAATTTACTCGTACACTAGGTACCCATCATGATATTATTATTGTTTAATTAGAAAAAAAAAAAAATCACCCTTGTATTGCTAGTATTATATAATGTATTTTAAACTGCTCGCGACCGTTGGTCCGGGTTTTGTTACATGCCATGTAATAATTTTAAGTATTACATTTTACGTGCTAATAATAAATATAATAATGTAAATTGCGTAATTGTAAATAAAACCGATAAAATATTATTGCGTGTGTTTACGTGTAGTGAAATTTATTTTTGATTATTGTCCAATCGTAGTTGGCAGTCGACTGCGCGATCTTCGTGGATCTTTTCAGATCCGAGTGGATAACGTGTAGCGGCCATCAGTTTTACTATAAGATGTGACTATTTTTTTAATTTACAGAACCAAACAGAGGCGCCGTGTACAGGGGGGGGGGGTTCTGGGGCTGCAGCTCCCCACGAGCTGATAAGACGAAACTCAGCTCCCCGTAGTTTTCATATTACATAAAAAAAAAAATATCGATATTCGTCATTTACATCCTCAAAATACTAATTTTATTTAGAACAAATTAATTGAGAAAGATAAACGTTATTCTGTTTGATATTGATAGTAGAGAAAAAAAATGTAGATTTGATAATCAACGTGGTTCTTGGTCAACTGGTGTCTGGCCTTTTTTAAATTTTTGTCTTGTGATCTTTGATGATGCTATTGTGCTAATACTATTGAAACATTATACAAAACAACAAATAACTTTAATTTAGTGATTTTTCAACGAACAATTTTAAGGGAAATGAAAATAAAAAACACGTGGTAAGATTCACGTAAAACTGTACACGTGTTAATAAAATAGCGAGCTCCCCACAAGATTTTCAAAACCTGGCGCTTCTGGAACCAACAGCGTATACTTATTGAACGATAAAATTCAGCAAACGTGTTTCATTATACCCGTCCCCTAAACAAATTAGTTCACTGGTCTGCAGATAGCTAATTCTATAATGGACTGCGTTTTGAATAAACCGCAATAATCCGAATAAAACAATTATTATAATCTTTTTGTACCTACGTATGATGTGAAAAAAATCTGAATTATAGATAAATTAGAATGCGTATTAAAAAGGTTATATAAAAAAAAAAATGTATTAAAAGAATAGACGATTATTATGATGCTGATTTGATTATTATTATTATTTAAGTGATCATTATATTTATTATTACCGATAAAGCTTCTTATTAAAATGCTCATTATGATTGTGATTTTTAAATAGCTTATCATTATTATCATCATCGTTATTTAGATTCTGAGTGAAACGAAGAAGCTTTTAGTTTTATAAAGATTTTTTTTTCGCGGTTTTTCACATTTGTTGAGAAAATTAAAAAATGACGTACCTAAAATACTTTTCCAGTCAGATTTCCTTTTTGAAATAATGATATTATTTTAAATCGGAGCAAAATTGCTGGTAGAAAAGTTATTTGCAAGAAAAAAAAAGGCTAGCACCTATATTTCGTAAATTTTTCTATTTCCCTCCCCCCCCAGTTTTCCTGTGTTTTTCTCCGGTTTTTTACATTTTCTGGTAAAACTTTTGAGAAAAATGAAAAATGATCTTCCTAAAGTATCACCACAAGAAAATTGTTTTTCAGAAAAAGATCTACATCGTATATATCGGAGTAAGATTTCTAGAAGAAAAACGTTCACATAAAAAAAAAAAATAATAATAAACATCTTTGTATAACAAATACATTCTTCGCTACACTTTGAATCAAAAATAATATTAATAATTATAACGAACAGTTTAAAAATCATAATAAACATTTTAATAAGAAGTCTAATAATGCTTTTAAAAAAGCGTTTAATAATATTAATCAACATGTATCATAATCAGTATTTGAATAAAACAACAACCAATAATCACAATCATAAATTGAATAATGATATTTATTGACAATTATTATTATTATAATTGATGTGTTTTATAGCTATGTTGATTAGTATTATTAAAAATATTGATTGTAGACCGTACCTACTCCGCTGTACATTAAATTTATCATCTACCTTCCCAACTTCTCACCTGTAACGGTGGCCCACCCATCATTTGTTTTTTAAACTCATTTGTCAAATATTTATTGTATTTTTAATATTATTAATTAATTTATTCGAATACAAAATAAAAGTATTTTTTTTACAAAACTGCCGATGCCTACGAAACTATAGCGCCTCCATATTATTTTAACCACGAAGATGGTTAAGACATTAAAAGCCTTTGACGAATCTGAGAACACATCGTCAACTTAGCCATCGAACCACGTATAGATATAACTATATATTATATCTTAATCGCAGAACACAATGTTACTTCTATATTAATCCTATACGTTAATACGTATAAAGTCTATTCGTTATACAGTTACAATAAATAACATATTTGTATAATAGTATTATGACGGATTATTAAAATACGAATAAATTAATTTGCAAGCTATAAATCAATTTTATTTTTGTAATAATATTTTGGGTACACGTTTAACAATATCGTTGTGTTAACACGAAATTCGGCATAATAATTTGAACCATAGATTGCATCTATAATATTTAGTATAAAATTATAAAAAAAAATCAAAAACTATTTATAACATGTTCGATGAAATGATTATACAATCTTACAACAATGAACAATATTCGTCAATATTTAGAACAGTAGTGTAGCTGTGTATCGTGATCGTTGGCATTGTGCGAGTGAATGATTTGTGAATTTATTAAAATTGATCGTGTCGTTAAAAATAATACGATTATATTTTAATAGCTTATAATTATAAATAGATAATACATTTTTATTTACATAATACAATACGAAGATTAAGCGAAGTATAAAAAATATTATTGCGTTGCGATACCATACGAGGTTATTAATATTGTCGTATTATAATTATTGACTTTAAAATACAAGCGAAGAAAAACAATAATATATTATTGCGATATTAATAATGTTCAATAACAAAACAGTATAAAAATTCCTTATTATCTAGGTAAATAAATTCGATAGTAAAACTAAATATTATGGCAATTTTGAGCATCGATCATCATTTCCTGTACGGCGGTAAATATTCCCTGTCTGGCACCGGCGGGCTGTTGTAAGAGTTGACAAACTGAGCGTCGGATCCGGGTGTTGTTCCTCCGGGATATGAAGCGGCAGTCGGTGAAGAACCCGGCAAAGTCGGGCCGTAGGACCCTACGGTACTGCCTTGACTTGGGTAAGCCGTTGTGCCGGTACTACCGAATGAACTTTGTGAGCTCGGTCGGCCGTTGTTGTTCGCGGCTGAAGACGGATACGAAGATTGACCTTGGGCACCCGGGTAGCTCGCTGGTCGTTGTCCGGAGAATATAGCGTTCGTCTGTGATGGATAACTGGCTGTCGAACCTTGTGAACTTCCTTGTCCGGGGTAGCTTGCGGTCGGTCCTTGTGGTGCAGATTGTCCAGGGAAATTAGCGGTTGGTCCTTTAGGTCCTGATTGACCAGGATAGCTGGCAGATGGTCCTTGTGATCCAGATTGTCCCGGATAGTTAGCCGACGGTCCT